AGCGGTGCTGCCATCTAGTTAAGATGGGCATTTATTTATTTTTGAAGGCATTTATCGGGAATATGCCCGACTGGGAATGTGCCCGACAAGCCATTTATTTTTATAAATGCCATTTTTAAGATCACTAGTCACGACTACCGGAGTTATTGTTACCAAAAGTCGAGTTAACAAAGAGTTGGCCCGCGTTTTGAGTTTTAATTTTCTATTTAACAAATATTTCTAATTTTTTGTTTCTAATTAAAGTTTACTAAAAGTAACAATTTGTTTAACAAATTCAGTGTGAGATAATGCATGTATGTATTTATTATGATAAATGATTATGGTTGGTTTATCGTCATTAATAATAAGTTATTATTAATAACATTCAAATACTGCTACATTTAATTATTATAGTTTGATGTTAATAAAAAGATGAGTTTAAAAATACGGCACACTTGAGGTGTAAACACCAAAAATAAAAATAAAGTAATTTTTAAGGTAAAGTTAATTTACAATGATTAAAATGCAGCATTAATTAAATTATTCCTATGCAGTATATGTATATAGAATACTCTAGTTTAAACTACATGTACTATATTGTTAAGGTAAATGTGGAAAATTACAATGCAGTAGAAATTCCTATAGGAAATTGTTGAAGTTGTATGTTTTGATACACTAAAACCTATTTACCAAAACATCAATTTAAAATATTAAATAAAATGTAAAAACTACCAAGATTATTGTTATACATACAAATTGATTTATAAATTAAATTTTTTATTTATAACATACAATTTTCTATAATTTTTATAAAGGTTACGACAACTTTGTATAATATAAACAATATAACTAGAATATAATGTTATGAATACCTAATATGTGTTTTTGTTTGAATATTAAATGTGCATGATTGTTGATAGATTAGGATTAATTAAAAATGACATTTAATCTCTATAAAAATGTTAAAATAAAATCACTTTCTACCAACACATTAAACATGCAACTATTGAGACAATTTTCAAGAGCAGTATTGTCTTTAATAGACTTATTTTCAACGAATGGCCATAATTTGTATGCGATTCCGGCGTAAGTATATATTTATTAATGTTAATTATACTAATTTATTATTATTAATAAATCTCATATTCTAGTTATTAGATTAATAATTTCCATACAAGTAGTAGTGTGTATATATTTACCATTATCTATATGAATAATATTTATATCATAATCGTTACCTTGTTCATATTTTATTATACATTGTTTTTCAGGCTATTTATTGAATTTAGAAACCTTTTGGCCGTCATATGCGGGGCCGCAGAACCCGTCCAATACGTCGGCGCCGGAGACTTAGGACAAGAGGCGACCACTTGTCTGAACGCAATCGTCTACATGACGGCCGACGGCTCCCCTCTATATCTGGAGGCAACTCGATTGGCCACACCTGAGTATACATTATATATAACCATGCTTATTTCATTTTTAATTAATCATTATTGTTTTATTAATGTATTTAGCAATCAGATTGTGCTCGATTTGTTAGGCTCACTTCAAACGTTGCCAGCGAATATGCCTACTTTGCTCGCCCCTCAACCGGCCCCCAACCCCCCTCCCACGCGCCCCAATGGCTATCCACGTCTTAATCTTCCTCGAGGGGGTGGAGGCCGGGGTGGAGACCGGGGGGCAATTTAATGTGTGGTGTGGGCGCCAATCGGCTGCAATATCTCCGGAACCCGAGTTTTTCACAGCAATAAGTGAACAAAAGAATGAGTTTTTAAATTTTAAATCAATCGGAAGTTAAATGTCTTTTTTTAAAATTATATTTTGTGCTCAGAATTTGATTCTCGCAATTAATTGCTTTAATATTTAGTCTGAAATGTATTTTTGGAGTCTTTTCTCTGATTTGATATGAATTATAATGAATTAATTGATTATAAATTTTAAATTGAGAGCAAAATTAAGTTTTGAAAAGTTGTTAATAAAAATGATGAATCGCTTTAACTAATCATATGTTTATACGCTGTGTGTCTACACCAGACCTGGGCTCTGCCGCTCACAGTATTGATCAACACATTTAACAAACTTTAATTATAATCAAATTAATTAAACTATTAATTAATTGTAAGTTTAAAAGTTTGATTTAAAAGTAATTTATGGTAAGACTCATAGGCTTTATATGAATATAGTAATTGACCGATAATTTAGTGCTTTTTATTAACAATAATAGCATTGAGTTTGTTATATGAAAAAGTGCTAAACAAAGTACAACACTATATGTTATGCAATGTTTACAATGCGTTCAACAAATCCGTGAATTGTTGTTAAATGTGTTGTGATTGAAGTGATTGTCACCCGATTTACCACTCATTCAGACAATACAAAGACAATACATCCACTTTGAAGAGACCACGTGTTGATTGTCTGCCCAGTGATGATCATATCGACACTTTGCCGACACATTCAACGCTTGACCGGCACTTCGCGGCCACGAGTGGTCCGTTTGGCGGCCAATGGTGTGCCGAAGACGCGGTCGCTGTCATCGACCACTACCAGCAACAGTACCGCCGATGACGTGAAATCCACGGCCGACGCCCCGCCAGAGATGATAGACAACAGGCCATTGGCGCGGCCGCGACGGGCGCTCCTCTACTGTCCCGGAAGTGACGCCCGAAAAGTGGCCAAATTGTCGCACATTTGCGGAACCGTTGATTCGGTGGTTCTTGACTGCGAGGATGGCGTCGCTCACAATAAGAAGGTACCGATCGGTGATGTCTTTAGTTGTGTTTTTTGGTCACTTTTCATACTTGTGTTGTCCCACAGGAAGAGGCCAGACATGGCATCCGTGAAGCCATTCAAACGGTTCCGTTTGGTCGAAGCGAATGCGCCGTTCGGATCAACTCAATGGACAGCGGTTTTGCTGAAGAAGATCTGAATGTTGTGTTTTCCGGCGAAAAGATACCCAAAACTATACTTTTGCCGAAAGTAGAGACTAAAGAGCACTTGGATTCGGTATTTACCGCTACAATCATTCTCTCTCTCTCTCTCTCTCTCTCTCTCTCTCTCTTCTCTCTCTCCGATGGTGTAGTCCTCGTCGGCGTACAACTCGCAGAAGGAGTTCTTCTCTCTCTCTCTCTCTCTCTCTCTCTCTCTCTCTCTGCGAATGTAATGAATAGTGAATTGATTTGTAGTTTTGCGAAAAACTGATCAAAGCGTTGGGCAAACGAAAGACGTCGCGAGACATACATTTGTTGACTTACGTGGAGAGCGCCAAAGGGTTGTTGAATCTGAAGGACGTGATCACTCACGCCATTGAATTGTCGGAATACAATCTGTTCTCATTGGAGGGCATTGTCTTTGGCTCCGACGACTTCTGCGCCTCAATTGGTTTGTTAAACAAATTAATGTTTTATTTGACAATTAATTTGTTATAAATGCTGACAAATATATTGTTTTCTCAATCATAAGGAGCGACCCGAACGGCCGGCGCATCCGAGACACTGATGGCCAGACAACAAGTGGTCGTAACCGCTAAAGCATATGACTTACAAGCTATTGATGTCGTGTATATAGACTTTAAAGGTTTTTTTAATCAATTACTTAAGTATTGTATTTATCAGTAATTAATTTGATACTAGATATCGATGGTCTGAGAGCCCAGTCTGAATCGGGCGCTAAAATGGGATTCACTGGCAAACAGGCCATACATCCGACGCAAGTGGATGTGATTCAGGCGGCGTTTACGCCGTCGGCCGAACGGATCCAATGGGCGACCCGTTTGGTGGACGAGTACCACAAGTCTCAAAGCGAAGGAAAGGGTGCGTTTGTTTTCGAGGGACAGATGATTGACCGGCCGCTGCTCTTACAGGCGCTCAATATTATAGACATCTCACGAGCCGTTCAGACCAACAAATAAACAACAATTGTAAACAAATACTGTTTTTACTAATTATGTAATCATTGATTGCAATTTAGTTGCTAACTATAATCAATTGGGTTATCCGATACAACCCTTCCGGTTAGTCTCATAACATACCTGAGCGCAGGTCACCACCCATTTGGTAGTCAATTACAGTAAAATAATATTAGATTTAAATGAAATAGATTTTTATTAATAATAAATCAGAAAATATAAGTTTTTAACAATCAATCGATTGAGTATTACATGTGTTTTCCATATAATGATAGCCTGTATTTCTGGACACAAAAATATTTTTCCATAAATTTTGTTTGTTTTACGATTAAAATATATGTTATTTAAAAATTACAATAAAATTTGTCAATAATCTGTATTTTATAATAATAATATCCAACAAAAATAGTAACAATGAGATTAAAAATTAGTAAAGGATTAAAAGTAGTTTAAAATTCAAATATCAATTAACTGGTTCGCCGCTAACAGCAAAACAACCCGACGGTAAACATGGCCGGCCTATAGAGTCCGGCAAAACACAACGCGATAACAGTTTTCATTTAAAACAATTCATTAAAATTCTGGTCAAACAAAAACCGATTTCAAAGCCCAACAGACCGGCAATTATAGCACCCCTTTTGTAGGCCTCCAGTACGAGGCCGAGAGGTCTGCGCCGGACCACAACAACGTGGTCTCAGTGACCACTGAGTGTCCATATAATAGGTATATATATTTAAATAGAGTGAGAGTCCCGTTACAGCCCCTGCCGGCGGGTCTCAGGAAATTCTGCCCCAAAATATTTGCAATGAAAACAAGGAAAGCCTAAAATAGATTAGAAAACAAGCGCTAATATTATCTATAATGATAAGTAATATAATAGTGATTTCATCATAGTCGTTTTGTTGGATTATTGGTTTGTATCGATAATAGTGTGTAGTGTTATTAAATTTGTGTCGTTTATTGTAATGGTGTTTAAAGCCGTGTCCAGACCACAGGCCGCTCAGTAGGCCTCAGCTGTTGGGTTTGGCGAACGTCCCGTACGTGATGTCGTAGTTCTTGAACCGACACACCTGTAGCTCTTTGCGGTCAAAGCCCGCGAACTCAACGCCACGGAACTCCTTCTGCGAGTTGTACGCCGACGAGGACTACACCATCGGAGAGAGAGAAGACATCCATTCATTATATGGTAATCATATCAGTATATTATGGCATATATTACCTCATTGGCGCAAATAGTCATGAGAAACTTGCCAGGTGCAAATGCCTTGAGTAGTCGGTTCACCAGATCCGGGTACGAGTTGTGCGGGGCGTTCGTCTCGAAGCTCACGTACGAACAGTGAGGCTCCGGTGTTATGTGAATCGTTACATAATAGCCCTGATCAATAAACACACAAAATGATGATTGTCATTTAGGGCACAATCAAATCACCGACAAAACACTAACCCCTTTAATGAGACCGTTCATAGAGTAGCCGCACGGGTCGAACAAGAAGTCGTCGATCGTCATACCGGGCATCAGCTTATCGATGCCCGACTTCTGTGTGGCCTCTTTGGCCGACGCCGACACCGCGCGGGTGAATATGTTCATCACCTTCGGGTCCAACTGTTGCATAATCACCTCAAATGTCTGGTCCGGTGTTTGTTTGAACGATTTGGACTCCATTTGGGGCGAGTTTAGGGTATATAAGTACCAGCAGTCGCTGTTCATACGCCCCATACAGTATGCCGAGCCATCTGTTATATCCGTCACATGTATGGAAAAAACCATGTATTCAAACCAAATGTTGTATTTGACAATTGGTTACAAAGTCTACTCACCATCAAAGAGGTTGTCGAGTGCCTCGACCTCGTTCTCGAAGGTCCGGTGCGAGTCGTCCTGGAGTTCAGGTCTCATGAAATTCTTGCGCGAATAGAAGATGTCCTGAAGAAGCAAAATATAAAGTGATAAATGCATGTATAAAGCAAGTGATTGTGAGTTGCGATGGCATTGAGACACAAACTTACCACCACTTCATCAAAACCGGCCATTTGTTTAACAAGATATAGAAGCGGTTCCAGACATCGCAATAGTGTGGTTGAGCCGCACGTCTTGATTATTATGCGATTCTTTGATACAAACAGTGAGCTCTCACTACCATTTCGATAGACAGACAGACAGACAGTTCCCAAATAAACCCGATATAAGAGAAAATGTTTGGATAAATTTAAAACAAATTAGAAAACTGCCATGGTAACTTTTTTTGCTTGCAATTATTTAAAATGGTAATATTTAAATATAATTATAATAATTGAATGGCCAGTAAAAGACTGCACACTTGGAGTGACCCCTTATTCCCGTATGGGGTGCAAACGGGAGGTCAGGGCGGCCCCACCAGTGTCTATACTAACACCAGCTTAACCCAAACCCCTGTACATTACCTCAACACGTAGGCATCCAAGTGTTCATTGCGTTTGAACGAGATGATCTTACAATTCACAAAACTTAGCAACGAGTCCCACGCTTTCCTGTAAATTACATTTAACAAATTAAACGGTTTTATCTTGGTTCATTTTAGGGTTCATTTTTGCATAGGTTTATTCATAGCATTAAATAGGCATCAATTCGGCAAATAAATGTTCAATTATTCTGCATTACTAACACATGTGTGTCTTTTTGTTTGGCCTCTCATTTCACACTCTTATAACTTCTTTGTAAAACAACTCATCTATAATTAAATTCATTTTAATTACAACTACAGTATTTTAATTGTGCTCTTTATTTATCATAATATTATTATAATAAAAACAAAATATTAGAATTAGTATAATTGAATGCAATGTTATCATTAAGTTTTATGTAAAAATAATGTGTAAAAATGAACCTAGATGAGACAATCACGTCATATTATACTGTACTCGTCAAATTCTCTCTCTCTCTCTCTCTCTCTCTCTCTTTCTCTCTCTCTTTCTCTCTCTATCATATCATATCATATATTTAATTTGATAGCAGAAAATTGATATAAATATTTATAATATATCTAAAATGATACAAATATAAGGGGTATTATAAGTTATAATTAGTAATAATGGATAAGATTTCAGTACACATAATACAGTGTGGATGTGAAGTGCACTCGAAAATGTTATAAATTATTAAGTAATTACAATAATTACAATGATTTGTGTATAAAATATATACTGTCATTGATATGACCGCAAAAGTGAAGGGTTGGGGGGGTTTAGGGTTAGGTTTAGGTTATATACTTTGCATTGGAGTGAATGTTGCAGTTATGGTGAATATCATATTTGACATTCACTGCAATGCAAAATATGTGACCCCCGGGCCATCACATCTGCTAATTGACGCACACATCACTGTGCGATCACACGCTGTATTTGGTTCATAGAAATGGTTATACCTCTGGATGTGTCTGAGATCACAGTCGGCCTCATTGTCGTCGTATTTGTCGAACCAAATCTCCAACAGTTTCTCCGTTCCCTCGAAGAAGTGGCAGAAGGAGGAAGTGCTTGAACTGTTCATATTCGCCAAGAACTAGATATTGATGTTGAGGTTCACAAAAAATTCACACTAATATATATATATAACAGTAAATCACTTCATGAATGCATAGCTATGATAGGGTAGTGCACACAGTGTCACACACTGAGCAAGTGCTAGATAGTTGTCCTCCTGTTATACGTTTGTGGCAATCATAGGATTTGGATTTCAAGGGTTATTCTGACATCACATGGATTGACATTTGCACTTCAAAGCGTCTAATTAGGCTCATTCAATGAGATGCGCGCGCGATGTTCCCACTTACCGGATATATTTGCTAACTATCTAGCTA